CTCCATCACGCGCTGCACGCCGCCCTTCACATCCTCTGGCAGCGCCGCCTCATACTCCTCCTGCACCGCCCGCGCGCACGCTGCCTCCGCCTCGGCCGCAGCTGCCACCGCTGCGGCCGCCTTCTCGGCCTCGCGCTGCCAGGCACAACGCAGCAAGGGGGTTGCACAAATTTGACGCCCAGGCTCACAGCAGGAGGATTGCAATTGCCACACTCGCATTCTGAGCCAGTCTCACGTCATCCCAGCAGGCATGCCAGAAGCAGCGGCAGAGTGCAGTCCGGTCGTGCATGCACACCTCCTGGCGCTGCCTCTCCAGCTCCTCCTCGTGCTGCTCGTTTGTGATGGCCTCTGCCAGCGGCGGCGGGCAGGGGGGCGCCTCGACTAGCTCCCAGGGGTGGCGCGTCGAGACGTCAAGGGTGACCCTGGCGGCATGTCGGGCGACGCGGGCCGGAGGGCGTGCCTTGATGGGGCCACGCGATGCGTCAGACCCGCCGTTTTGCGGCCGCCCCTCACGCTGCTATCCCGTGCGGCTGTGGGGACACCAACAACAGCCTTTCGTTGACAAGAGAACCCCTACTCCCTCAGGCACCCACCGTTCTAAGCCAGCCCGATTTTTTTCCATTCACACCTGTCAGTGAAGGCGTACTGGTAGAGCTTGTAGTGCCGGTAGTAAGAGGATATGAACCACTGCAGCACCGCCCGTGTCTCGTGCTGCGCAAACACTCCAATGCTGAACGGCGGCCTAGGTGGGCAGGGGAGGGTCACGGCGCGCGCGTGCTCGCTACAACCGCCGCCGCCGCGGAAACGGCCTGTCATGATGGCGCTGGCTTTGCCACAGTATACGCTCGCCGCGCCTTGGCTGAGTTAGCGGGCAAATCACGATGTGAATGTAAAGCGACAAGGAGTATGCTGCCGACATTCGTCCCACCGCTATGTTTGGGCTGCTGGTGTCGCGCCTGGCCCCCACAACGCCGCACAGCAGACGCACGCACCGCTGCACGCTGTGGTTGAGCAGGGAGTCCCTGAAGAAGCGGAAGCTCGCCTCCAGCGTCAGCCGCCCCCTCACCGACGCCGCGTGCGTCTCCTTCACCAGGCCTAGCAGCACTGAGAGCTTCTCATCGCTGAAGCCCCATTCCTCGCCCTGGCGCAGTGTCGACGCGCACAGATCGACCAGTATGCCGAGCTGAGCTGCGTCAAGGGTGTCGCCGCCCTCGCCGGCGGCCGCTAGCTCGTGCAGTAGCTGCCAGGCAGGTGATGCCGGCGCCCCTTGCTGCATGGAAAGGGGTGCATCTGACGAGGCCCCGCTGCTGCTGCATTTGCCGCTGGTGGTGGCCACCGCGCCCGCGCAGTCCTTGGCAGTGGGATACTCTATGGCTGGTGGTCCAGGGGCGCCCTGACGCAACTGCTGCAGCTGTTCTGCTGTGATGTGGGCCCACACCAGGAATTGCGCCTGCGGCAGGCGGCGATGGCGCGTGTGTCCGCTCGGCGTGGCGCGGGCCGTGGAGACGTATGCGCCTTTGCACGGATTTCATAGGTCCCTGTGCACAAGTCCGCACAGTTCTATCACCCCCAGCTCGCCATTGAACGAGGTGGCCCGATGTTGGCGTTGACTGGTATCGACGGATGCGGTCTTCAATTTGAATCTACCGTAACCGGGCGTCAGTGTCACTGTTCTTTCCTCCTTGATATCAGTATCAAAACACCCGCTCAAGTGTTTGCACCTGCTGTGCACAATCAAAGCTGATCGCACTGGTCGACAGCGCGGAGGCGAGAATGTTGACAGTATGTTTTGTTTGAGATGGGGAAGGCGATGCTGCAGCGGCACCACATAGAGATCACGCTGTTGTGCGCATCCTCCCTGCGGCTGTGCCTGGAGCTGTGTGACGGATGGGAATCAGGTAAATCAAATTGTAGTCAGTTCCATGAAGGATGTCGCCTGCATGCCCTTGACCCCAGATACGCGAGCGAAGCGCCCGCCCTTTCGCTCCCGCTGCCCCCTGGCCGCCCCACTCCAGAGCGCATCGCCGCTGCTGCCTGCCTGGCGGCCCTGACATTTCTCAGCATCAGACTGGAGCCCTGGGGCACACACAAGCGCCGAGGTGAGGCGGTCACTTATTGCAGATACTGGCACCGGTACTGTCCAGGTCCGCGTCAACAAGTCCATCGTCACCACTTCCCTAGTGCTTACCATTGCGGACCCCCCCTCGTTGGCACAGTCACACCGTATGCGCTGCGCGCGGCGGAGTCCGACGGCATTGCACAAGGGATCCTGGCGTCCCCCTCGGTGCTGGCGGCGCTGCTCGTGGCTGACCCCCTAGGCAAGCGGGCGTTTTTGCGGGCATTCAGTCCTTGCCAGAGAGCGCTCAGCTTCTTGAGATGTGCGGTTGCGGTGCGCGGACCAGCTGCTGTGTGGCGCCGAGCTTGCATGAGATTGCAGCAGCGCATGCAGCCCGATGCGCCGGCTTGTCTAGCAGGGCCTAAGGGTCGACGCATTCTTGTGGGTTTGCCATGCGCGCAGGCGGCTGGTTGCCATGGCTCGCCGGCAGCTGTGCTGCGTCGCTCGCCACGCTGTGGCACATCTGGGTCACCACGCCGCCTGCGGCAGAGGCGCCTGCCGTCGACACGACCGGCAGCGGTGCAGCGGCCGCGGGCGACGCGGGCGTCGGGTCGCCCGCGGCCCTCGCCACACACAGCAGCGCGCGCAAGGCAGCAGCCGAGGTGACCAGCCAGCGACCGTCGCTGCCTAATGCCAACGGTGGTTTGATTCAACGGCGGGCCGCAGCACCCCAGGTCACACCGGGCAAGGGCACATGCAGCAGCGACAGCAGCAGCACACCAAGCGACAGCGGCAGCAGCAGCAGCTGGAGAAGCGGCAGCAGCGGCCTCATGTGGGCGCTGTGCGCGCCCGCGGGCGCGTGCGCCGCCGCGCTGCTCGTGCCGCCCGCGCGCGGCGTGCAGGGCCAGGGCGCGCGCGTCGCCCTCGCGGTTGGTGCAATGGGGGCGTCCGCGCCCGCGGCGCTCCACTGCCTCTTGGTGGCGCTGCCGCGCACGACCAGCCTGGGAGAGGGCGCCCTCCTGGTTCAAGGCGTTGTGTTTGCGCTGGCGGGCGCCGCGTGGGGGCTGCGGCGCACCGGCGAGTTTGCAGCAGCAGTGGGCGAGGCCTCAGCAGCTTGGCCGCGCCTGGCCGGGTGGGATAGCGCGGTGGCGCTCGCGCAGGCAGCTGGGGGCAGCATCCCTTGGGCTGCCGTGTGGTCTTCAGAAGCCGGTTTTCTGCGGGGTGCGGCGGCCGCAGACGAGCTGCTGGCTCCTTTTGTGTCCCTGTTAGTGGCGAGCGTGGTGGCTATCAGCTCTGCCGTATGGGTAGGCACCTCCTGCGCTCGGCATACGCCGCCAGGCCCGCGACGCCTGCTGCTGCGAGGCGCGGCGGCGCTGCTGGCCACGGCGGCGTCGTGCATGCTCGCGCTTCTGGCGGCGTGGACCCTGCTGGTGTTCCTGCCGGCCGCGGCTCACCGCGTGTGGCTGCTCGCGTACTGGGCCGCGGTGCTGGCGGTCGCGCTGCCGGCGATGCGGGTCGCCGCAACGCGCAAGGCCGCTCAGCAGGTGAGCCCGCGGAGCCTTGCGCCCGGGCCCTCATCTGTTCTTTGCCCCCAGCAACAGGCCCGTTTCCCTCTGCGTTCGTGGGGGCCAGTCGCGGCCGCGGCCCTCGCTGCCGTCGACAGGCGCCCCGCGTGTCCCCTGTTTGGCGCGCAATGGGTGCTGACGTGGCGCATCCCACCCTTCTGCTACCTTTGTCATCCCCCAGATCATTCTGCGGAAAGGATATCATCTTGTGGCCGCCGCGCTCTTCCTGCCGGCCTTCTTCCTTGACCTGCCGCTGCTCTGCGCCTCCCTGGCCATCGCCTTTGCCGCGCTGGTCGCGGCGGAGGTCGCGCGCTGCACTGGATTGCCTGTCGTCGGCGCTGCCGTGCAAGGGTTTATGCAGGTGGGGGGTAGAGGCGAGTGCGGGTGCCAGATGGTGCTCGGACGCCAGTGCTGGGCTGCCTACAAACCCAGGCTTGTCTGGTAGCGCTTGCAGCCTGATGCGCGTAGTCATACTGGATGCGTCTGATTGGGAACAAGGAGGACGAGGTGCGCTTTGATGGGAGAGCTCTCGCCATCCTGAGGATTGGATTCCAAAATATCCACCACAGCCCAATAACCGCCACCCCTTCTGGCACCCTCGGACACCTGCCAACCTGCCAGGACTTTGTTGACGGCCGCGACGCGGGGCCGCTGTATGTGACACACTTCACGCTTCTGCTCGGCCTCGCGCTGCCCATGTGGCTCGTGGCCGCCCTGCCCTGCGGCACCCCCGGCGCCAGCAGCCGCAGCAGCTGGTGGGCGGCAGCGCGCTCGGGAGGCGGCGGCGGGGCATCATGTGCGGGCTCCCTGCCGGCTGTGCTGGCCGGGCTCAGCGGCATGATGGTGATCGGGTTTGGCGACACCATGGCGTCCGTCGTCGGCCGCGCGTATGGGCGCGTGGCTATTCACGATGGCAGCCGCAAGACGGCCGAGGGGACGGTGGCGGGCGTGGCCAGCACGCTGGCCGCCTGGTGGGCTGTCCTCGCGGTCGCGCTCGGCGGCGGCGCGCACGCGGCCGCCGGCGCTCTGGGAGCGCTCGCGCCGTGGCCTGGCGCGGCGCAGTGGCGGCAGCTCGCGGCGGCGACGGCGGGCGCGTGCCTGCTGGAGGCGTGCACCAGCCAGCTGGACAACATCCTGATCCCACTCTGGTACTTCCCGCACTGCCTGCTGGTGGCCCCCGGCGGCGCGCCGTTGTGACGATGGCGTGCCGCCGCGGCGCGCTGGCCCCAGTGCGGCTGGTGGGCCGTGCAGGTTGCGCCAATGCAGGCGTGGCAGGGCGGCTGCGAGCGTGGGGGTCGTGTGTCTTGTGAGCTGACCTGTGTGTCGGGGAGTTTGCTCCGCGTTGTCCTGTGGGTGATGTGTCAACAGCTGCAGTGTGTGCAGCAAACAGCCAAGTTGGTTTGGTCCATCCTTCATGTGCTCATCATTGGCCGGCAGGGCTTGACATGAACCAAAACGTGACTGTTGATGTGGATCCTGGGCTGTTGTGTTGACCGTTTGTCATGCACTGGCTGCAACTCACAATGGCCGCAGCTGCAGATCAGCGGCTGATGGCATTTGCTGGTGTCGTTTACAAGTGCACAGGCCAGGCTGGTGGTTTTCTGAGCCCACACACCATCCTCATGGATAATATCTCTTTGTTCACGTGGATTGCAACAAGTTGCGGTCCTAGTTTCAAACTGCAACATGCAGGAAACGGCCTCCTGGCAGGTACCCAGGTGGAGATGAGATATCGGTGGCAGTCGGCAGGCGCGCTGTGATGTGTCCGGGTGCCGAGGGCATGGTATTGAGGGTACATTCTAAGCGGGCAAGTTGTGTTGGAGGCTGGAGGGGCCAGATCGAATTCGGTGCGCCTCGGCTTGTAGCTTGCTTGCGTGAAGTTTTTTCATAGGATATTTCCCAGAGCCTACACAGCGCGCGTGGGCCAGCGGCCGTACGAAGTCGCACGTATCATCAATGGGGAGCTCACAGTCCGTGCCGGCCAAACTTTTCGCTGCTGTGAGAAATGGCAGCACCACAGAAGTACAGGTGAGCTGATGCAGGCCCCCGAGGCTTGCGCCCGCGCGGCGACCGCCGCCCTTCAACGCGCCCTGCCGCCCAGCTCAGCTACGGCAGGACGACGCTTCCGGCCGAAACCCTGCTGAAGCGGAGAGTCCCCAGCAGCCAGAAACACCTCTAAATTGCCGCGCTGCTTATCGCTGTCGAGCGGCACTTGCACGCCCGGTTTCCCCCGCTCGTCCCCGGCAGGCCACCCTGCAGCAGCTGCGGCGGGCTTCGGCGGCGGCGGAGCAGCGGCGCGCGCTGTTCGATTGGATGGACGGCGCGACCGGCATGACGTGCCTCATGCTGGCGGCGTCGCGGAACTTGGTTGAAATCATGCGGCTGGTGCGTGCGGCTGTCGGCATCGATTCGATTTGCATGCGGGTTGGGCAAAGGGTGTGATGAGCGCGCACGAGTGTTATTCGGCGGGATCTGCGTGTGTGTGCAGATGTGCCTTGGGTTTGCCCCCATAGGCTCGAGTGCACGCCGCAGGGGTCCCAGATGGCGCAGCAGCAATCAAAAGCGACGTAGTTGGGGGCGGTGGTGGCAACGACAGCGGAGGCGGGGCAGCAACCACTCCCAGCATGGCAAAGAATCGGTCTACTGGTACAGGCGGTCCCTGCCTGCAAAACGGCGGCCTTCAGAAGCAGCCAGCTCCTCCAGCACGCACTCTGCAGCCGACAACCCCTGGAACATGCCCCGCAGCTGCTGGCGGAGGGCGCCGACCCTCACGTCATGTCTGGCAAGGGGCGCGGCACGGCGCTGCACGAGGCGGTGGCGGCGCGCCACGAGGCGGCGGTGGAGCTGCTGCTGCAGTACAGGCAGGGCTTGGTTTTGCTTGTTGGGGCAAGGTTTTGCTGCACGCACAACGTTGCTGTGCATCGACATCGTGCTGCTCTGCAAGAGGGATGTATTGTAGGCTGCTGCTACGCTGTGGGTTGGGGCACACCTTGCCGGGTGTGGGGGGACACAGTGGACCTGGCTTGAACGCGTGCGCACAATGGTTGCGTTGGTCCCGTCCTGTGGCCCGCGTGCCACTGCATCGCCTCCAAGCCGCCTTGCAGCAGCGCCCGGCTGACAGTCTCCGCGCCGCTGGCCCCCCGGACGCCTGCGCCTGCCCGTGTCACCGTGCAGGGCGGACCCGTTCCTGGAGAACACGCGCGGGGAGACGGCCATGGACCTGGCGGTGGTGCGCTGGGGCCAGCGCACGCCTGGGTTTCTTGCTGTGCCCGCGCCAGCTGCCTCGCACTCGCTGCCGTTG